AAGTTGGTTAGGTAAATCACAGTTCTGTAACGCAGCCCCAGACTGCCTGCCGCAGGAGGGTTCGGGGGCTTCAGGCAAATAAACCTGCTGCAGTTGGATTAAAAGCTTGTTTTGCTGTCAGGTTGCTGCTGTGAGTGAAAATCAGGCTTATAATCAAGCTAAAGATGTGGTCTCTGAGTAAATTACGGTTTGAAAACAGCTGAAACTGGAGTAGGGAAGGAAAGACCACGGAGTCCAAGCTAAAAGGACTGTGGCTGATCTTTGACTGTTTTGCACATTAGTGGGTTGGGAGTGTATTTGGGGAGCTCTGCTGTGTACCAAGGCTTTTAAAACGGCTGGGACTGACTACCAAAGGGTGCTGGCTTTTTACTTGCTTGGCTGGCTTCTTGATGGTGCCAGTTATGTTGGTTATTCTTACTGAAGGCTGTATTAGCATTAACTTAATCCTTAAAACTAGTTTTACCTTCTGGCCAGAGCAGTCTTTATGAGGAACCTGTTAGACTGAGGAGGGAGTTGTTGTCTAGGGGAATAAACTTGAACTTCTTCAACAAATGTCCTTGGAGTTTACAACTAAAACTAATCATAATTTGAAACCTGCACAGGGTTGAACTTTAAAGGTAAGACCTAAACCACTTGTGTTTCTAAAACTCCTTGTGCAGCTTGTGAACTCCTCGATGGAGAATTTTTAAATGCCATGCGGTAGCTGCTGGGAAATGGGCTATGATGGGAGGAGGGCAGCAGCTGATGAGAGCACCGGCTCAGACCCCGTGTGGCTTGCCTGCGTGCCCTGAGGTCTCGCTGGTGGCCAATGCCTTTTCGTGCCTTGGGTCTGTGGCATAAGCATGCTCCATCTTCCTTAAAATGCTTTCCTGGAACCCCTGGGTAGGGGTTGGTTTTGTTGGGAACTTACAGACCCCATTAAATCTGCTTTTGGAGCCTAGATGCCCGTTTCTTGTGTGAATTTTGTAGCTTTTTAGGGTATCTGGTTCACGGGTGTAATGGCAATAGTTTCATGCAGCTTGGCCTTTGGGCAAGACACCTTGAACCTTGCTTTGCACCGTGCTTCCACTTCCTCATTTGTGCTGAGGAACTAATTAATACATTAACTGTAAGATGGGTCAAGTTAATGGTTTGAACCGCAGCAGTGGGCCCAGCCCCAAGGGTATTTTTGCTGTAGGGGAGAGGGCAGAAACTTTTAAAGTTCAGTAAGTTGGCTTTCCAGCTGAAGGCGATTCATGGTGAGGTGGCCTCCTGGGGAAAACGCAGCCTGAAATCTGGAGGCTGCCTGATTCTTAGCTGTTGAGTTCCTAAAGCAAAACCTTCTGCGTCTTGCTTAAGGATCAGAAACTGTCTCAAATGGTAACCAGCTACAGCTTTCTTCAGGTATTGGTTTAAAATCAGCGCTGTCAAGATCAGACTTGACCATTGACCAGCAAGCCTTCCCAGATCGTGGGGACACAGCGAGCCTGGCCGCTCGGGGTCTGATACGTGCAGTAAGGGCTGGATTGTAGGCGATGCCAAACTGTAACTGAATCCTCCGTGTGTTCTGAGTTCCAGTTTTACGTGAACTCCGGAGCTGTTTGTTCTGAGTTACAAAGCAGCTGGTTTTCAGTCTCCCTCAGCAACATCTGGAAGCAAAGACCTCACTGGGCCTGGCGCTGTGCTAGCAGTGCCCTGGAAACTGCGCAGGAGTTTTCCTAAGTAACCTCTCGGACAGATGCAGAAGCTGGGTGCTGTGCTGCAGCGGTGGGTGCTCCTCTCCAGTGCTACCCGGATAAATGCAGCTGTAGGGAGCTACCATTCCTGTTTTTAAACTCGGCCTTGCAGGTCTGACAAGCGAGTTAGTGGAAGCCTTACTAGAACGTCGGCAGCGTGTTAAAGCCATCGCCTGTGCCCTGCTAGGAAATCCGGCAAGGAGCGAGCCTCTATGGTGCGCAGGGGCAGCTGGCAGTCTGCAGCTAGTAAACTTTCTCGTTGTTATCTGAGCTGTTGTCCTGCAAAAGCTGGGGGGTTTTGTATCGCAGGGGCTTGGATTGAGAGCTGTTGCTAAGCTTTTCCAAGCGCAAAGAGATTGTGCGTTGCTTTTTACATGGGCCTTTTAATCTGTGATGTTTCAATCTGTGGATTTATAGAGCAGAACCTGAAATGCTGCCTTAGGTGAGAGCTGCGTCACCGAGACAAGTGGTGTGAGTGGTTGTTGTAAGTCCTCTCTTTCCAGTGAGATACTGTGCATGGCTCCGTAAAACCAAAGTTCTCCTCCTAGCTGGAACTGAAGATTGAAGAGAGAGAAACGGTGGTTTGATGAGAAGCAGGGCTGCTGCTAACTGAACGCCATTGCTGCCTCTGCACCCCTCGTGGGACTTGCCCGTGTCCTGTCCCCCAAGGTCTGTTGTTTCATCCAGTTTGGTGGAGCAGTGGGACGTGGGGTGACTATCGGGGCAGCTTTGGAGCTGTGTATTCTACTACCTGGTGTGCTCAAGGTGCAGCCTGTGTTTTAACTATTTCCCCTTTGTGGTAGGGGAGGTGCATGCTAGGTTCTTAAATATAATCTGTAGTACATTGTGGAAAACATGGATTCTTACAGTTGTACTTCCAAGTCTAGTGCTGCTGCGTTGTATTTCTGCATCAGAAGGGAGTGACAGGGATGAGAAGTGCTAAGGAAGAGAGGCTTAGATGTGTTTGGGGTTTGTACTGTAGCATTAAAGTGTCTCGTCCAGAAGATTAGAGTCCAGTAGCATTTGGAAGTGGATGGATCTCTGTGCAACTTCAGAAGGAGTAGGTGTATTCCTGCTTTTAAGCTTTCATGCCTGTACTTCTGAATTTGTGTGTGTGGAGACTCACTTCATTCTTTGGCCTTCAGAACGTGCGGCCTTCAGGTGCCGGGGAAGCTGCGTGCAAGTGGCTGTGTGTTCCTGCACTCGTCGCACGAGGTGTCTCCTGGCATACCGAAGCTGGAGTGGAGCACGGTGCAGTTTGCTCTGTATGTAGACTCTGGCTAGCTGAAAATTTCCAGAGAACGTGCACCTCTCTAGGGTGGAGCAGTGTTCTCCTCTTGCTCGGGATGATGCTCGACGCATTTAATGTTCTGGAGTTAAAGCAGAGGTGTGCAGCGGGCGGTGGGAAGCGCTGGTGGGGCGTGAGAGTGCGTTACTGATCTCCATGCTAGGTAAGACTTGCCAACCAGGAGGTAAGGAGGGAATTCCTGCTTGGCTGAGGCTGGCTGCTCTGAATGGACATGTGGAGCTGACGGCTCTGGAGGGCTTTTCACCTCCTGCTTACCTTCAGGCTGGCTGCTCTGAATTGACATGTGGAGCTGACGGCTCTGGAGGGCTTTTCTCCTTCAGGGGAGATCTGGAGATGCTCCCCACCTTCAGGAGGCAGTAGGCTCTGCAGTAGGGGCTGCATGTTCAGATCTGCTCCTGTCCCAATCTGTGCTGAGCCACGAAGCACGGGAGCGAGGTTTGCTTGGGTCAGCCCTGTGAGAAACTCAGTAGGAGCCCTGGGAAAGCTTCGGTAGTGTCTGGTGTCAAGGTGGGAGGCTTTCAGTGACTGCTGAGAGCAACCCCAAACCTGTGTGTGCTTTGCAGTAGTCAGGGTATGCGGAGCTTTGTATCTCCACTGCAGGGCTGCTGGGGGACTTCATACTGAGGGGAAAATCCTGAGCCTTGACCTGTTCGATGTAAGGCAACTTCCTTCTGTTGTAACAGAAGAGAGTTTGGTTAGTGGTGGCCTCCTAGTTCAGGGGGAGTAGAAGCTGGAACTCGCAGAGATCATCTATTCAAGAGATTAAATACTGCCTGTGAATAACAAAAGGCCATTAAGTGACAAGCTTTTTCCATTCCTGCAATCAGCTTGTCTTGATCATTGTCCTTAAGTGTTTTGTCTAGCAAAAGCTTCAGGTAAGTCTGGTATCTGAGCCTCCAGTGTGGGCTGTTGCTGGTAACCCTTGCAGGCTGTCAGGGGAAAAGCTGAACCCTCAGTGGGCTGGGGATGGCATGGGAGTGTTGCCTGCTTGTCTGGTGTTTACATTTAGCTTTCTAGATGGAGTCAAGACAGAAAAAAGTTTGTGTTTTGGGCCCATCTTGCAAAGCAGGTCAGTGGCTGAGCCAGAAATAGAGCAGAGTTTGACTTTAAAGTCTTACTCTCTCTGCCCTTCTCACTAAATGTCCACTTCCTGAGCAAATTGCTAACGTGACTTACTGGTGGTAATGTGGGGGCTCTCTGAACTGGGCTGAAATTTTGCTTCAGATTGGAACTTGCGATAGTTCAGAAGTATTCTGAATTACTCAGACGCTTGAGCCAGAACAATTGAGACTCATAACAGGATTTCTGCAGAGGAAAATCTGACTGACACAGGTACTTGGAAAGTGCGGGTTTCCGTTTGTGGGTGAGCAGTTCTGGAGGTACAGAAGGCCTTGTGTTTTATTCCATGTAACCACCTGTATTCGCTGATGGGTACATCTGGAGGTGAAACAACCACGGGTTAGTGGAGCTTTGCAGGCTTGAGGTGATAAACTAGACTGCTACAGCTGGAGCAGCCTGGGAGCTGTTGCAATACAGGGGATAAAATAAGGCTGATACTGAGAGTTGTTGGATTGAGGCCATCTTATCTCTCTGTGACCTGGCAATAGTGGAGTACGTAATGCCTTGATAATGCTTGCCATTTCTTCAGTTTTGTCATCAATGAGGGCAAACCTGTTAGACCCTGTGACTCGATGAGGACCGCTGTGATTTTATAGCGTGCGGAAACCTAGAGAGGAAAGGGATGCGTATGCCAACTGTGTTACCTGGATTTAAGTTGCAACTTTGCTTTCTGGGGTCTTGGCTGTTAGTTTTGTGGTGTTGCCATTCCTGTGGCATTCTTCTTTCCTGAAACTCACTGATGCGAGCGTTATATTCGTGAGCAAGAACAATAGCCAAAGTGCTACTAGCAGCTTTTTTTTTTTTTAGCAATAACATGATTGGTTTTTG